AGTGCCCAGCACAGGGGCATGGTCCCTGCCCTGCTCCTGCTGGCCACACCACTCCTCATCCAAGCCAGGATGCCGCTGGCCCTCTTGGCCACCTGGGCACCCTGCTGCCTCCTATCCAGCCCCCTCTCCACCAACCCCCCCCAGGGCCTTTTCTGCTGGGCAGCTTTCCAGCCACTCTTCCCACTCAGACAGGGACAAAGATGCAACCTGTCATAGGCTCTGCCTCATCTCCTGTGCTGGCTCAGGTGTGCCGACGCTCTGGGCTACGGCACACGCTAAGGCAGCACATGTGGTGAGTTCACAGCATGGGCTCAGTGCTGTCCTGAGGCAATCCAAGGAGAGTTGTGGCCATGGCCCTCCTGTTCCCAGCCAGCCTGTCCCGGTGGCACCGTGCACTGGCACGGGGTGACATTCTCTGACCTGCTGCTGCCATGCCCGTCAGCCCCCCAGGGCAGCCTGGACACCGGCCTCTGCAGAGAAGTGCATGGCCTCTCCCAGTCTCTCTCATGTCCAGGATGTGCTCTTCAGTAAGGTGATCCTGGGAAGTTAGGCAGAGCCTTAGAAAACCTCTCCTCATTCCCAGCAAAGTGCCTTTCCCCACTGCTGCTGGATTTCTCCTTTCAGCCTTTCCTGTTGTCTCCCAGGGATCAAACCACCCACTCACGCTCCCCTGTCTGTGATGTGGACAGGGACAGGAGTACTTGACTGGGGGCTCCTCCAGGCTACCTACACCTTGCTGTGGTTCACACCTGAGGGTCCCCTCCATGGGACCTGCCTGCAGCCCTGTCCTGCCTGCTCCAGTGGGGCTGCCGAGCACCGCGGGGCATCTCTCTGGCCCCACAACGGGATACCAGGTCCCCTTCCCCCACTGCCACGTCCCTGCCTCCGCACTTCTTTCTGTATAGCAAAGAGCTCTACTCTGTAGTCAGGAAGGCGAATAGCTGCTTTCCAAAGTGCAGTGGCTAATAATAAGATGCATTGCAGCTGAGTCATTCTGCCATTCGGACCAATTTAGCACTCATTTTCCCCGAATCAGGGTTGCTGCTCTGAGATGTGGTCAGAGCAGACTCTTGCACGCAGCAGTGATGTCAAGAAAGGCTATTAACATCCTCATCTCTGCTGCAAGTGGCTGCAAATCACGGAAAAGAGCATCGCTTCGTGCTCAGTTGATCGGGCAACCACCTCTGCTATCCACTTTTCTGCTTGCCTTGGCACGCAGAAGCAGCTTTGCGACAGCAGTTAATTTTTCGTCCAAGAACCTAGGACACTGTCAGGGTGATCCACATCTGCTCCTCTTCTCATGCCCACATCAGCAGTGAGCTAGGATTAGATAAAAAGGATAAACTAATTATATATCTGTTTCATACCAGTCTAAGTCAGAGCTGCTGGCCCCAACATGCAAAGACTGAATCCTAGTGAGGACTAAAAAAAATGACAAAAAGTAGTGTCACCCAGATCAGCTCCCTGAGCAAAGTAACGCTACTGAAGACTTCAGAACAAGGCCTGGGTAAGTCAGACGCTTCCAAAGTTCAACCCTGGGACGTGCAGAGCCCCATACCCGGGGAGGAGCAACCCCATGCACTGGGGGCTGCCCAGCCAGAAAGCAGCTTGGCAGAAAGGGACCTGGGACTCCCACTGAACACCAAGCTGAACATGAGCCAGCAACATGCCCTTGCAGCAAAGGCCAGCAGTGTCCTGGGCAGCATCAGGAGCAGATCGAGGGAGGTGATCCTTTCCCTCCGCTCAGCACTTGTGACAGCACACCTGGAGCGCTGCGTCCTGTTCTGGGCTCCCACTACGTGGACATAGTAGAGAGAGTCCAGCAGCGGGTGACTAACACGCTGAAGGGACTGGAGCATCACTTATGAGGAGAGGCCGAGAGAGCTGGGACCATTCAGCCTGGAGCAGAGAAAGCTCAGGGGAATCTTATCCCTGTCTATAGATACGCGAGGGGAGGGTGCAGAGAGCCTGGCTCTTTCTGGTGGTGCCTGGTGCCAGGACCAGAGGCAGTGGGCACACACTGGAGCCCAGGAGGCTCCCTATGAATGTCAGGGAACACTTTTTGCTGTGAGGGTGACCAAGCACTGGCACAGGGTGCTGCCCAGGGAGGCTGTGGAGCCTCCATCCTTGGAGATATTCTAAAGTCATCTGGACATGGCCCTGTAACCTCCAGAGGTCCCCTCCAACCTCAACCATTCTGCGAGGAAAAACATTCCTATTATCTGCAGCCTGTAATGCCCATGGCATTTATCATCCTCTACCCAGAAAATTGGATGCTTGTGTCACTTCTAATGAGAGCTGTGAAGAGTGGGTCATTAAGGCATGTAGGGAGTTACCTTTAAACACGCAAATGGTGTACTAAACCCAAATTACTGTCTGAAGCAAAGACACCTCACAGAGAAGGCTGCTCTTCACAGCCCGTGCTCCTCCTGTTCCACATACGCTGTTTCTCTTGGAGGTGATCCTCAGCTTTTCACAAACCCCCGATTCCTACAACCTCAGCAAATGCCTGGCATGAGGCTTACAGCCCAGGCCTGGAGTAAAAACACAGAGACACCAGCACAGAAGTCTCTCCCCCAGGGACTGAGAATCCAGAGCTGTGGATTCAAACCAGTCACCTTTTCTGAAGATGTCACCAGCTCTGACTCAGCAGGATTCGCTGTGCTCCAGGCAAGAAGCAGAAATATTTTGTCTCTTTTGCATCTTTACAATGCTTCAACCCAGAATTAGACTGTAACTCTGGAGAAACAAACATACACAGAGCCAAACGTGCATGTAAGTAACGCTTCGCTTAGCCTGCCTCCTTCTATGCTTTCTGCTCTGTGTGTGTGAAAAAGGGGTAGGACAGGCCACGAGCCAACAGGTCACTGCCAGAACCACCCCGACAGCAGGCAGTGAAGAACCCGCAGTTTCAAACCATGTTCTCGTGCTCTGGCGCAACCTACATCCTTCTCCTCTCATACATACAGGAAAAAAACCCAGACGTTTTATTATAGCTTTTTCTATATAAATATAAAAAAAAGAAGCAGTTTAACGAGGTGAATATCTGTTCCATCCCATCCTTGAGGCAGGGTTTCAGCAAGGTCATGTGCTGATGCTGGACAGGCAAATTGAGCAGACAAAAGCATCCCCATGATCTGTGCGCGTAACAGCTCACACCTCCCAGACATTTTATCTCATTTTCTTGCGCTTCCGTTGGTTTCCTGGTGCCTTCTGGACAGGCAAGGGGAGAGAAAGAGTGCCCAGCTTGCGGTTCTGATCATTCTCAAGTCCCTCTAGGCCCTTTGCCTTGGAGACCTTCAGCCGCATGGCCTTTGCGATGTCCATCATCCTGGAAAACACCAGAGGAATACTGTGTCAATACACACGTCTTCTGTAGCACAACACTACACAAAAGATCATCAGCCCTTGGATTCAGGGGAGCAGCCAGGAGGCACCAGCGAGCAGGATGCGTTCTCTGCATCTCAAGGATACTACCAAGACAGAAGCTTGAAGTATTCAAAGACTTCAGGACAGAGCCTTCCTGGGGAGGCTAAAATGCTGCTGAGCTGTGCACCACTGCCACCTCGGAGAACGTTATAGACCCACATTGCTTTACTCAGTGATTAAAAATAAGGCTCCTCTCCACTTCCCTACAAAGAGAACAGACATTATTTGTGTTCAGCTGCTGCTGCTGGCAGCCCACGATTGCCTCACAGTGCACGCATCTCCTGTGTGTGGTACAAAGAATGGTACAGCAATGGCATCTCCTCTCAGCCACCCTTAGCTGTAAGAAGAGGGGCTTGTTTGAGCCGCACCTTCTTGCCCAAGCTCTTCACCCTACACAAGCCAGCACACGCCTGGAGGCTTGTCAAGCAGAGAGAACAAAGTGCATCCGAAGGGCAGCTAGCAGGAGGATAGGTGTCCTGGCCTCAGCTGGGGTCCTGAGAACACACAAGTCCCAGAATCCTCCCAGCTGACTTTATTATCTTTGGAATACAAACAGATTCAGCTGGGAAGCGTTCTTTAGTCAAACCTCCCTCTCCAAGCAAGGATCATCCCATCAGGTGGCTCAGGTCTATGCGTCTCCTCAATTTTAAAACAGGTCCCAGCCTCCTCCACCCTTTTCTCAACAGCACCATATGCCCTGTGTTCCCAGCTCCATTACAGCAGTTAAAAACAAAACCTTGGCATCACCTGCAAAACCAAACATGGCTTCCTTAAAAAACTTACTTCCAAAAAAGAGAAAAAAAACCCCAAATAAAATAGAAACCAATAGCAAACCCACTACTACCCACCAAAGATTAAAGAGCATGGCCAGGGACAAAATCAGATGTCATTGCACTGAGGCTGACTCGGGAGCTTGCAAAACCAAGAGGTCACCCTAAGGGCTCTGATAACTTCCAGTTATTACCAGACCTTAACATTACATCCCTCAGCCAGAAACCCCAGGATAGTCCACGTTTTTCTCAGTGGCAGCGAAGGATTTATGTCCTGCTGCAGTTCCTACCCAGCCGCACGACCTCTAAGCAAACCTGTTAAGACAGACCAATGTGACCGAGTTAGGAAGCACGTCCTTGGTGTCACCATTGCCCACGGAACAGGACAGGGTGGGAGAGAGATACTAATGAGCATGGCTGAACAGTCACTAATGGGGCACCTCACCTCCTCCCAGACAGCATTAACAAGCTGCCTGCTGAGGTGACTGAGACTTCCCAGCAAGCGCAGGGGACCGGCCCATCAGAACTGCTCAGTTCCTGACTGATTCTGCAGGGGCCAGAGAGAGGATGGCATGAACAGCTCCCAGAGCAGGGGGAGCTGGCAGCAGGCTCCAGCTGACACCTGCCGGAAAAAGCAGGTCTTGCAGCTAACAGCAGGTCCATAGATAATTAAAATCTAGGGAACTGCCCCCAAAAGCTAACACAGCAAGGGCTGTTTGCCCTGAAGGTCATTCTACAAGCTGTCTTCTACCCATTCACCTTCACTAACCCTAATTAGGCAAATCCTTATTTCAAACAGCATGGCCAGCAGTTCTGCCTACAACCTCACCCCAAGATGCCGTGCTGAAAAAACCCCAAGTCCATCAGTATTTCAGAAAAAAGCCAATCTCCTCTGTGCCAAGCCCAGAGTGGGTGAACTTCAGGGGCCTGGGATTCTTTCATGTAAACACCAACTGCACGCTCGCAGTGCAACTGTGAGCAAAAAAGTCCCCGTTTCTGTATTTCCTGTTGCAGTCAGCTGCAAACCTTCACATCCACCCAGACTGGTACCTAACAGGGAAGGGACACAGAGGACAGGAAAGTGAAGAATGATGTGATTTGTCAGGCAAGAAACAGGGTTGGGTGGCAGTGGACAGGTCTTGTCCTGGAATCCACCCTGGCTGCCCATTTTGGTGCTGCCCGCCTCAGTTTCCTTCCCTGCAGTATAGCTCTTAATGCACCAGAGGACCGCTTTGCGACAAGTGCCCTTTCCAAGTCTGAGATGTATAACCACCCTCCTTTACAAGCATCAGCACTTCAGGATGCGGCTTCCACCCAGTCATGAAAGACAGAGCCCAACTCCGACACAAGGGGCTCCCTAGCAGGTAACCCAGATGCCAGAGAGGCTCCAGAGCTCTCTCCCCCGGGGCTCCTTGGAGGAGGATCACAGCATATCTCAGCAGGGATGAAAAAACGTGACAACTCGCCTGCTTTCTTGGAGCTTCATGTCATTCTGCAGGATGGTGAGGTCTGTTTGGAAGTTGTTAATGTGCAGAGCTAATGCAATGACGTATGCTGTGATTTTAGCCTTCATTGATGCAGAGATTAAATTCTGGATGCTGTATGGCAAGAGGGAGAACACATGAGATGCGGAGTGTCACCGAACCCGAAACACAACCCCCACGAGGTGCGGACAGAACTGGAGCCCCAGTTAGACATGACTAACTTTTCCTAGACACCAAAAAAGAGGTCAAAGCAACAGAGACCCCTGAACAGTGGGGCCTAACAGGCTTCTTTGTCCTCCTCATAGGCCGGTTCCTGTTCAGAAGTCCAGGCCTCTGGGGCTGTTGATCACTGTGCAGCCTTGACAAAATCACCAACTAATGACACTTTAGTCTCTTGGCAGGCTGCTCCCTTGCAAGAGAAAAGCAAAGGGAAGCTGTCCTGAGTCCATTCAGCGTAACTACCAATGGCACCTCGAATATACAGACCACGCAGAGCAGATCCCTGGGTGGCAGCCCCTTGAGAGCATCTGACTGCTGGTCACTGGTTTGAGCCTTCAGACAAAAGCTGGCCCATTTGGACTCAAATTCTCCACTCATGTCAGACTAACGGCAGCAGTGCAATAGCTGAGCATCAGCACTGCACCCTTCCTAGGCAGAGAGGCGGCTGGGTCCCCAGGTGTGGGGAAGGCACTGTGCAAGAGTGAGGATACCATTCATTCTTGTCTGCAGTTTGCAGCTCCCGCTCAACAGCATTGCTGAAAACATTTATCCAGATTTATAACTGCTTAGTTTCAAGTGGCATCCTTTGTTAAGGTTGCAGCTAAGGGCCTCCTGGTCAAGGGCAGCCTCCGACAGCTGCCCGAGGCCCTCCCTGCAGCGAGACAGCGCTCAGCACCACACAGTGGCTCTGATGCTGCTGGAAGGGAGGACCTGGCAGTAGCTTCCCAGCCTCTGCTCCAGCCATGGGGTGGTGGCTCCTCCTGGCTGACCTCTACAGCAGGACCAGACCCTACCTTACCATACCAAATTTTGTCACTGCTGGTGGGGCAATGCCTGGGCATGGCTTAGACAGAGCTCTTTGGCCTGTATACATATGCATGCAATGGCATGGTTGTCAGCCCAGTGCTAGTTAACCTGTGCAAATCTTTACACAGTTTTATCTGTGTAGGTTTCAACAGAGAATCCAAGTAAATCAAGTCAGGCCTAGGTTCACATAAAAGTGCCCCTGTTACGCTAATTAAACTATGTGACTGCAAAAAAAAGCACCATTATTACCCACTTCACCACCTCTGTGCTGACCCACTCTGGGATGGTGGAAGAGCTGCCTTGGTTCACAGTGAAAACAGACAGCTGCCCATTCAGCTGCACAGCAAGCACCCATTCCACCACCCTGCAACCAGAAACAGTCAGACAGATGGCTGGGCACCCCACTTGGTCATGCTCACTGAATCCACAGGTGCTTCTTCACCTGACCCTATTCCTCCCAGTCACATTCTAGACCCGCACCATCTAAAACAGAGTATCATCAGCCACAACCCAAAACTCTATAGCGCCATGGGTATGAAACAAGAGAAGCTTCTGCCACCTTCCATTCTGGTAGGAGGTTTCCTGATAGCGTGTCCATAGCCCTTCATGCTGAACACTGCCATACCTCTGCCTCAAGAACGTCAAAGCAAACATCGTTTCTTACCTGCCATTGTTGTAGGTCAGTGAA